GAATTACCTGCCGAAGATCCGCTATAGGAGTGGACCATAACTGATCCTCGAGACAGCCGACGTGAAGCCGTCCCTGGAGGACTTCGATTTCCCCTCACAAGAGTGATGCATGTCGGGCTTAGACGACTAAGGCCGCGGGTATTTCGATTTCCGCTTACCAAGCTTGGCCGAATATCGCAGACATAAACTTGAGCTCGGCCACGCTCTGGGCCATGTTGGCTCGCATACTACTCATCTGAGCAGACAATTCCCCATCTGTGATCAGGCAATCCACCGGCTGCGGGGACGTCGGCAACAGAGGTCTAAAATGATCATCCAGGGGTAGACACGGAGGGAAACGCTTATCTCAAAACCATCTTACACTGTTATTTGGAGGCCATTGTCCGGTATAAAAGGATATCAAATTGCTTGATATTTAAGCATATGCTTGACACAGTCTGTGACAAGCATACAGAGAATTTTAATGACTAACTATTGGCAAACAGTGCCACAAGAGGTTGCGTGGCGGAGTCTGGTAAGAAGGACAGGCAACTCCGTATGTTGACTTCGAAAATGTATCTGTATTTAAGGAAAAGTAAGAAAATTTGATTATAAGAGGAAAGTGGGACTGTATTATGCCAAAACCAATATGTATGCTGCCCTCGAAATCGTTCTGGGTGATAACATACCATAACTCAGAGTTTAATCATAATGTTAACTGACAAGTAACAGTAATACCTTAACTGCAGCTCATAATCATGAATATATTGACCAACGGTTGGCAGTGCACATTGTATACACAGTTTGATAATAAACATTAGGAAACTCAAATATATCCAGCTGTTCGTGATAGGCACTAGTATGATAATATCACTCAAAGGCAATATATTAAGATTATCAGAATGGCTTTAACTGAGCGGCATTATAGTTGTTTGGAACGAAAGGTGCAACTGAATACATATTACTTGAATGAAGTTTAAAATGAACTTTCAAATGAAATTATATTCACTGGCAATGCATATTCTGTTATAAACGACCACGCCCCATTAGAGGCCTGACAATTTGATATTCTGGAGAGGTTGGGATTGGGGTTGGGGTGTTATTTTATCGCAAAAAATAAATTGTCCCCGAAAAGTCGTGAAGAATAATTATGTTTCACATTTTTGAAAAAAAAAAGAAATTGTCTGCCAATGTGACATTGTTGCATATATGGGGGTTTTTTTTAAAAATTGGGGCTCATATCTTTAGATATAAATAATATCTGGTTTTGCATCTATAGCTGAAAAAATATCTGGTCTCAAAACAAAATCCCAGACCCCCTCCCTGACTATCTTCAGATTTTCTTGATGAATTGTTGAATAAGGCTTTAAACACAATTATTTTCACTGGCTATGGATATTCTATTAATATATTTCATGAATGTTAAGAGAAATATTAGACACTGAAATCAGAATTTTAGTAAATATTTTCCCTGCGATCAATAACAGGAAATGTTCATTTTCTCTATTTCCTGTCAATCTTATATTCAGAGTGGGTGAGTAAATGTCTGGGTGAGTTTCTTGTAAGGGATAGAATATATATTATGCAACTGCTTCAAGGTATACAGTTTTGTCCTCTGAAAAGTGCCTTATACTTGTTTAGGTCACCTGTATTTGTCATAAACTTTCTTTATTTCTACACATTGAAAACTGCGTGACTCTCTTCTTGCCAATGCGACGTTGAATATATACTCACTCTTCACATTGACGTTGTCCTGAACTTTCCTGTTCCTGAATTCAAAATACAAATCAATAATCTTTGTGAAATGAGCTCATGCACTTTTTCTGTTATACTTCAGGTTCCATCATTTGTGACAAAGTGGATGTGACAGAAATAGAAGGGGACGTTATTAGCGTTTGTTACAATCAGGGGAGTAAAGAGATCAAGTGTCCCAGAAATGAATCAGTGTTGGTCAAAGGCTTCTTGCAAAGAGCTCAGGCAAAAAAGGACGGTGACGACAAGGGTGCAGACGACAGATCCTGTGTAGAAAAATTCAATGATGAATATTATGACGTTGGGGAATGTTTGTTAAACGCATCGGATGTGCATCAGAAGAGGGTTTATCAGGCAGCGATCACGGAGGTTCTGGAGGAGTGTAGTCAGAAGAGGTACTGTATCCTGGAGAGTGACACGAGTTCCTCTATCCATGGTCTGAAGGACCTCCCAGTAGGAGGGAAAAAGAAGCGCCCGTCACATCTGGTTGTATTGTATCAGTGTGTTAAAGGTAAAGAGCGTGATATAGCTATGGAAATGTTCAGTGCAAGTTTTAATGTTTAGAGTATGCTCCACGTTGTAGACGTTGTGGTCCTACCCTCTTCACTCACATTTGTATTAAATATTCTGTTTCATTCCTTTCTGCATTCATATTGTACACGTAATAACAGACTGACCTAAAACATGTGATGACACTCCAAAAGGTTATTTGTTTGTTTTACGCTAGATTCACCCTGTCCACAATAACCTCATTCCACAAGGTAACTGGGATCTATTCTAACTTGGAATCACCACGTGGTTAATGTGTTATGAACAAATGAAACACGGTGATTCCATCACTGGCAGCTGGGAACATTACTTTCTGAGTAATCTATTGTGTGACCGGAATCTGATATCACCACTCCACAGCTGTCTTAAAATTGTTCACAAAGCCTTCTCATTTCGAAGTAGTGTACCCATCCATGTAAACACTAACAATTGTGACAATATTTGTACAATCTTGGCATATGAGAATAATCTGAAGATTAATTTTCTCTCCAGATTATACATCACAGCGCCAATTGCGTTCTCAAATACAGGAGCTCCACTTTGTTATATAACCCATATCACATCCAGGTTTTCCATGCAAATTGTGTGAATGGCGGGGCTGCCGATAGGGCATGTCATGCTTTACCGTTTGGCGAACGTCTGGCGTCATCACTGATTTTCAGTGATGTATTCATATACTTTTTACACATATTTGCCTTTTACCCCTAATGAATCTGTTTCGCCAGATAATCAAAAAAGAAGATAGTTTGTTGTTAAATACATGTAGTTATAAACACGTAAGTGATGCAAGAGGAGTGATAACAGTTAACATAGTGATGACATGCAGTGATACCTGCAAGTTGTATGACAACAAACACATCGTATTCGCGGAAATCCACGCAGATACCATTCTGGCATGTTTTCGTCACAAATGAATCATTTAACGTAAGAAAATGCAAGAATGACAAAGTGTTTGGAACAGTAGTCATCGTGGTGTGATAATACAGGACTATAGGACATACAGGACATGGTAGCAATGTGCAGGACCGATCGTGCCTAACTCCGTTGGGTTGCTGATGACTAAGTGTCATTGCAAGGCTTTGCAGTTTGCATCGGTAAACCAATGAGTGAGTATGGTTTTACGCCGCTTTTAGCAATATTCCAGCAATATCACGGCGGGGACACCAGAAATGGGCTTCAAATATTGTATCCATGTCAGGAATCGAACCCGGGTCTTTGGCGTGACGAGCGAACGCTTTAACCACTAGGCTACCCGACTGCCCCGGTAACCAATGATGTGATTCGTGAACATGGCATGGTCGTGGTTGTGATAACTCCGATCATTGTGGAACATATATTCAGCATATAGCACAAACGCCTTCTACTTTCTACCTTCTACTAAATGACCTGGTGACGTGCACTGGATCGCTCCCAGCAGTGTACCATAGCACAGCACAACCCATATGGTAGTAGGTCAGTGATGATGTAGGCTGGGTGGGCATCACCACAGTTATAGCATAGACAGTTCTGAGGCCAGTATGGGACCGTTGGGGATGGTGGTGAACGAATGACCCAGTCGTCTAAGGACTGCCAATCGCTGTGTGTAGTTGTGTCCCAGAAGCATGACCCCCTGGTCGAATCCAGGTTCTCCCTAATTATGTTTCTTGGTTTGTCAGCACCACGCCCGTGCTCGTAGACTCTACCAAAGTGGTAAACATCCAAAACCTGCATCACTTTGGGCTTTTCTTCAGCCGTGATATAACTGAAATATGATTCAAATTGTCATAGTCAATACAACTCTACGTTAAGGAAAACTGCTCTTCTTAAAACCGGCACAAATATAAAAGGTCACCATTTTGGTCAAAAGAGAAAACTGCCTGTCGAAATGATTGATCGGCAACCTTCAAAATCTGAAACATCAAACGTATCGGAAAAAGTGTCCGGTGAAAATGAAGTTCATATCCAGACACAAATTACCTACGATTTCAGATAATTTTTATCATTTATCAAACGTTATATTTGGGATAACACTTTCTTAGTAAAGTCCAACATTTCGTACTTTACTATGACCGTGTTATCACAAATATAACATTTGTTACATATGACCACTTTCCAAAATTTAATGGCATTGTGTATTCAATTTTATCCTTGGTTACTTGGAAGTGATTTTAAGCGTGTACCTGCATACAGAATGGATAATAATGACAACATATTTCCTATTATTTGTATAAATAGTATAACATTGACAGATCGAATAATAAGTGATTTACTTTCTCAGACAAGTAGAGCACATAATTTCAGACCAAGTTGCCAGTGTCATGTTGTGTGACAACAAGACCAAAACAGGCAAGGAGGTCTACATCAGCAGCAACCGACTGAAGATGTCATCTCTTGAAACAAGCACCTGCACCTGTACAGTCAGTGGAGCTACGAGCCACGTCACCCTGCTGGACGTCAGACTGGGCAACAGCCACGTGACCACACTGTCCATCAAGGACAAGACACGTACAGTGTACACAATCCATGGTGGCGACCTGGCAGTCCACTTCATGAAGGAGATTACCATCAGCCAATCAGAGTGGAGTTTACAGGTGGATGTTATCCGTGACTATCTCCCTGACAAGATATGGATGAGACTGGAGGGTAATAATTTTCAGAAGGTTCCATTAATTACAAAATAGTAATAATAGTTCAAATGTATATCGTTGAAGCCAATTGATTAATTACTTCTTTTTCCACAGGACACAACGGATCTGACGTCACAGTCGCGTGTAAAGGTATGCCCTTTGCTACTTCCACCTTTCTAATGGTTGTTGTAACACAACACAATCACCCCAACATCTAACTCTAAATTATCTTCACCAATGGAAAAAGGAAAGTTTATTCGTATGATGTGTAAATGATAGAGTGTAAATGGTTCAGCCCCCTTGACACATTATTGATTATTCTATTGTAAGGCAATCATGATAATATCGTCATCTATGTCATGTCTATGAGACTGACATTAGACAACTATTCTTCTTCTAAAAATCTAAAATTCTGTATAACAAACACACCAGTGTGTTTTCTTGGGGAACGTCAGCATTCCGATAATCTAAATATTCTGGATCAGCACGAGAATAATAATACGAAAACACAGTGCCATTTAGAAAGAAGTCAAATGTAACAAATGTTAAGGTTGGGATAACACTTTCTCAGTACAGTACAGATACTCGTACTACCCTCAAACCTAACCCCAACCCTCTGTCAATAATAATGACACGAGAATAATAATGACACGAATTATATTTCACACTTCGTCATATCACGTTTGAAAAGGAAGTGCTTAACTGCTTGGTTAAATGATATTATTATCGATTATTGATTTTTTTTTCACCGACAGAAGCAGCTTCAAACACCGATAGGACGCAATCAGTGCCACCAGGTAACGCCGTTCTTGGTAAGTGCATGTATCTGTTTGATTCGATTAATAGAATAATATTGTATACTTTCGGACACGTCTGTGGTAAAGTTCGTCTACCAACTGGTGTGCCAAGTTATATATATACCTCCTTTTAAATGTACACATTTGTCAAATTATGTTTCAGATGGATCACAGCTTGTTTTCCTTCCTGTTGGGTTTTTGGTTGGATTTGTGACTGTTGGTATTATCTTCATCTTGTATATGAAAAGGTTGGTACCACACCAAAACATTTTATTGCATGGACGTGTGTTAATATGAAAGACATTCGTGGCAAGACAAATCTATATTTTCCGAAACGACATGTCTAAATTCATTATATGCATACAGACAAGTCTATTTATAATAATCAATATACGTATATTATTGAATTGTTATCACAGAACCATCTATAAATTCTATTTTTACCCAGGAGACAAAGCAACCCGGCCTTTGTTTCATCTTTGCTACGGTTTACCCCTGAAGGGAATGACGCCCTTGAGCCCATCTACTCCTTACCCCATCAACATCGGGGGACGGACCCCCCTCGCCAACTTTCCACAAAGAGCTGTAGTCCCAATATCCACAACCAGGACGACCCTGACTACAGTGTGGCTACCCTCCAACCTAACCCCAACCCTCTGTCACTGTCAAACCTAACCATCGACAAGAACAAGCTTCGATCCAACACAGAACCGTGAACAGTGTATGAATGAACAAGTAACTGTGACATCCTTGCAATTTGATGCCCGTACGCAGATAGAAAATTTAATGTATAATTGATCTTATTGTTTGCTAGTAGCATGTTATTTGGGCTTTGCTGCGTCCTACCAAAATACGTTAAAATATGGTACTTGTTGTTACCATGTCTGGCGCTAGGCATTAAGGGGCAAAAACAAGGACTGGTCGGCTCGGAGTCAGTATACTGTGCCTTAGTAGGGCATTCATGTTAAACTGAGGCATGGTATCTCAGTGTGCTAGCACTATAAATCGGCATCAGTCCCGACTAGTACAAGCAGCCACACACACAAACACGCGTGCATGCACGTGGCTATATAAGTGCAATAATCTTGGACGCGACGTTATATTAAAACCCATTTCACCTCACCAGACCCTCAATTACAAGAAACCAGGCCTTGTTTCCTTAGGCAAAATATGAGACATACTCGGAAATGTATGAGTATGATCGGTCGTGTACAGTAACAGAGACATAACCTTTTCTATATTCGATTGTACATTATACGTTCAGTTCTTCCCTATTTTCAAATCATTACCTAATATTTCGTGATAACAAGGAGAAAAAATGAATCCGGCTTGTTTAAGACTTAGTGTGTTTAAACAATGCTACTGAAACCATTGCTTTACATGGCACGCAATTGCTTAACAGCCGATAATGAATAGCGAAAGCGATTCTATTAAGGAAACAGATATATATACTAGCAGAAAAAGTAACTGTGCTTCATATAAAGTGGTGTGAATGTTGTTACTGAAAATATACAAAATAATATTTGGTCAGTCGTCTGATCAATATTTTATCCTAACAATGTCATTGCCAGAACCCATAATGGTAACACCAGACATGCATATGGAGGCTCGCCCTCTCAGTTTGTTTCTTTTGTTTGTTTGTTGTTTAACGCCGCACTCAGCAATATTCCAGCTATATGACGGCGGTCTGTAAAATAATCGAATCTTGAACAGACAATCCAGTGATTGACATCATGAGCATCGATCCACGCAATTGAGATCGATGACATGTATCAACCAAGTCAGAAAGCCTGACGAGTTCGTTGTTACCTGTGTACAGTATGTTTAGCTAGTGGAATGTTCAGTTCGTTGTTGTCTGTGTACATAATGTAAAGCTAGTGGAATGTTCAGTTCGTTATTGTCTGTGTACAGTATGTTAGCTAGTGGAATGTTCAGTTCGTTATTGTCTGTGTACAGAATGTTTAGCTAGTGGAATGTTCAATTCGTTATTGTCTGTGTACAGAATGTTTAGCTAGTGGAATGTTCAGTTCGTTTTTGTCTGTGTACAGAATGTTTAGCTAGTGGAATGTTCAGTTCGTTATTGTCTGTGTACAGAATGTTTAGCTAGTGGAATGTTCAGTTCGTTATTGTCTGTGTGCAGAATGTTTAGCTAGTGGAATGTTCAGTTCGTTATTGTCTGTGTACAGAATGTTTAGCTAGTGGAATGTTCAATTCGTTATTGTATGTGTACAGAATGTTTAGCTAGTGGAATGTTCAGTTCGTTATTGTCTGTGTACAGAATGTTTAGCTAGTGGAATGTTTAGTTCGTTGTTACCCGTGTACAGAATATTTAGCTAGTGGAATGTTTAGTTCGTTATTGTCTGTGTACAGAATGTTAAGCTAGTGGAATGTTCAGTTCGTTATTGTCTGTGTACAGAATGTTTAACTAGTGGAATGTTCAGTTCGTTATTGTCTGTGTACATAATGTTTAGCTGGTGGAATCTTCAGTTCGTTATTGTCTGTGTACAGAATGTTTAACTAGTGGAATGTTCAGTTCGTTATTGTCTGTGTGCAGAATGTTTAGCTAGTGGAATGTTCAGTTCGTTATTGTCTGTGTACAGAATGTTTAGCTAGTGGAATGTTTAGTTCGTTGTAACCTGTGTACAGAATGTTTAGCTAGTGGAATGTTTAGTTCGTTTTTGTCTGTGTGCAGAATGTTTAGCTAGTGGAATGTTCAGTTCGTTATTGTCTGTGTACAGAATGTTTAGCTAGTGGAATGTTCAGTTCGTTATTGTCTGTGTACAGAATGTTTAGCTGGTGGAAAGTTTAGTTCGTTGTTACCTGTGTACAGAATGTTTAGCTAGTGGAATGGTTAGTTCGTTGTTACCTGTGTACAGAATGTTTAGCTAGTGGAATGTTCAGTTCGTTGTTGTCTGTGTACAGAATGTTTAGCTAGTGGAATGTTCAGTTCGTTGTTGTCTGTGTACAGTATGTTTAGCTGGTGGAATGTTTAGTTCGTAGTTGCATGTGTACAGAATGTTTAGCTACTGGAATGTTCAGTTCGTAGTTGCGTGTGTACAGAATGTTTAGCTAGTGGAATGTTCAGTTCGTTGTTGTCTGTGTACAGAATGTTAACTAGTGGAATGTTCAGTTCTCTGCAATGACAATTGCGGATTTCACATTCAGCGCAAAAGTTCAAAAAGCAATCAACACATTCGTTCGATGAAGATAAAGATCGTTTTGTCGGTGTTAGTGCATTCATTTGCGTTAATAACGGTTTTTACCGTTTTAGTTGTAAATTTTACTGAACTGTATGGAAGTATGATCGTATGTTAACCCGATATCCATTTCATGCATTGTCCAATTGTTATGTTTATCATTTTCATGTTTGGCTGGCTTTGCAGAACACTTTATAAAGCTTTGTGACTTTAATTAATTATGATGTATTAATATCTCATGTTATAAATGTAATGTCGTACATGAAAAAAATCTTTGGACAGTAATATTCATCATAACACCTATTTGTAGTATCACATCCTTTTCGCGGGCAGATTCATCATCATGATGAGGAATTTTCATACTGTCACAGCTGATACATATGCCCCATGAATGTGTTCATATCAGATGTGAGTGAACAGTTTCCATTTTACAGAGAAATATGTATTTCGGGAAATCGTGTCCTTTCATTTCCTTCTCTTTTTGTGCTCGTGTTGTATGACAAACAGTCACAGTGAGCATGCACAAGGACAAGGATTTAAATATCACTTGATACGCAGTAGCGTGTATTCACGCACACGTGGTTCAGGCCTTGTTGTGGAAGGGGGCCGTGTTCGCGGAGATTTCCTTACTCACATATCTTGACACGAACTTAAGACCATGTTATGGAACAGGGGTCATAACTATTGTCACCATCGTCCGCTGCATAATCTCGCATAACGCAGGGTCATCGAGTGCAGAGGGAGAAGAGAGAGAAGGAGTGAGCGAGTGAGTGAGTGAGTGAGTAGGGTTTAACCCCGCATTTAACAGTATTCCAGTTATATCACGGCGTGTCAGCTTAATGTGGGAGGAAAGCCCGAAGTGATGCAGGTCTCAGACGTTTACCACTTCGGTGAAACCCACGAGCACGGGTATGGTGCTGACAAACCTAGAAACAAGAGAGAGATGGAGGCGTTGTGTGGCCCCGTGGCTTCATTCATGCAAACATCAAACCATCAGTCGAAGTATTCAAGCTCCTGGTCAGTTGGAACTTGTACAGATGGTTGTTGTATATCAGAGAAAGTTATCCCTGTGGGGGTTCCGGGTAATAAAAAGATCCCACCAACCTATGCTGGTCGTTGGAGGAGATCGTGTGATCAGGGTCGGTGGTTTGTGTCACCGTACCCCAACGGCGTGCTCACGATGTCAGTCACGGGATTGCCTGGTCCAGACTCGATTATTTACAAGCCGTCGTCATGTAGCTGGAATATTGCTGAGTGCGGTGTTAAACAACAAACAAACAAACAAACAATATTCTACCCTTGACCCTCACGGGTCCATTACCTTTCTAACTCATTGAATAAAATGATCTTACTGCTGGAGTGCAGATTTAACCACATACACAAAAACAACAAAGAGAGTTATATTCATAAAACTGTTCTCTTTGTTTGTTTGTTGTTCACCCCGCACTCACAAATATTCTGGCTATATGACGGCGGTCTTTAAATAATTGAGTCTGGACCAGACAATCCAGTGATTGACATCATGAGCATCGATCCACACAAATGGGATACGGTGACATGCATCAATCAAGTCAGCGAGCCTGACCACCCGATCTCGTTGGTCGACTCTTACAACAATCATAGTCGCCTCTTACGACAAGCATGGGTTGCTGAAGACCTATTCTAACCCCGATCTTCACGGGTCCATTGTATTGAGCACCAATATCAGACATTAACTTGTTTTCGTTCGTATGCAGCGCCTGATATTACAACGCACAGCCTCGTATCCCCAGCAAAACATCATCTGTCTTAATGAGTATGCGATTAGACGAAAGTTGACTGAGTGCATCAGGTTTAAAAAATGTTTAGTTGACTATTACCTTGTATATAGATCTTGACCATTTTCATGTTTACAGCACAAGTTTTTCAGTTTATTCCGGGTAGGTTGAATCTTCAGTTTGATTTGTTGTTTATATGTTTTATATTAAAATGTTATATATGCAGCTCTATGCAGCTTAATCTTCATCATTGACTGTTCATATATGATGCATAGCTAGGATCTATCTTTTGTTGTATTTGATAAAAGTACAGTATGTATGAATGCCATATCCTTGCATGGTTTTGTTTGATTACCGTTATACATATTTTTCTATATATTCTTTTAATAAAAAACAGTGTGTTACTGCCAGTGACGTGTCATGTTATAATTGGAAGGGAGGGAGACTATAAATTACATGTTCTTATTTACTTCCAAAACGCTAGTAGTTCAAATAATTAGTTCAATACAGCAGGAGAAAATGTAAACATTTATACAAGAAATGTTTATTTATAGTTTTATAGTCCAATGGGGACGCTGGAGAAGTCCAGTGGTTACTGCGTTCGCTCGTCACGCCTAAGACCCAGGTTCAATTCCCCACATGGGTAAAATGTGTGAAGCCAACTTCTGGTGTCGCCGTGATATTGCTGGAATATTGCTACAAGCGGCGTAACACAATACTCACTAACTATAGTCCAGTGAAGTCACAGAAAGTAAAGGTTAATTATTATGGCTGCTTGCTGTTGCCTCCCTTATCAAGCTGGCACGCCGTCATATACAACAAAATATGTCCAAAGCGGCGTGAAACCCCACTGACTCGCTGACTATTCAAATAAACAAACACACCGTGAGGTTCATTCTTATACTAATTTACCATCTCATAAGCGCGTGGGGACACAGTCACGTGACACCAGCTGTGTCG